CCGCCGCCGCCCGCGCCGCCCCGCGAGACGCGCGCGTCGCTCGAGGAGACGCGCGAGCTCGAGGCGCTCCTGCGGCGCCTGCGCCTCACGCGGTTCCTCGACGCCTTCCGCCGCGAGGAGGTCGCCGACGCGGACCTCGGCCTCCTCGACGAGGACCTCCTCAAGGAGCTCGGGCTGCCCTTCGGGCCCCTCGCGCGTTTCTCGCGCGCGCTCGCGGACCGCAAGCGCGCCGGGCCGCCGGCGGTCCCCGCGGCGGTCTCGCCCTTGGTCATCGACGACGCGCCGCCCGCGCGCGCGGAGGTCAAGGCCTACCTCGCCGAGGCCTGGATCCAGCGGCCCGCGTTCGTCAAGGTCCTCTTCAAGGCCCAGGTCGACCGCGCCACGGCGCTCGAGCTCTCGCGCGACGACCTCCTCACCCTCGTCGACGCCGACGCCGCGGACCTCCTCCTCCAGTGGCAGCGCGAGACGCGCGCCGCCGCCTAGCGGGTCCAAGGCGGGATTTAGGGGGGGGGCACGGAGGCGGGAGGCGCGGCGCGCCGGCGGGAGGCGCGGCGCTAGAGGTCCTCGCCCTCGCGCGGCGAGTAGGCGACGACGTAGCCGACCTGCGTCTCGCCGTCGATGACGATGCCGATGGCCGCGAGCGACTCGTGGGAGCCGATGTACTTCTCGTTCGGCGTCCAGGTCTCGTTGGAGGCGTTGGAGCCGTCGGGCGACGGCGGGTCGTCGACCGCGGGCGCGCCGGCGGCGTCGGCGGGCAGCACCTCGAGCGCGCCGAGGCGCCGCGCGTCGTCGCCGTCGGCCGCGGGCGCGCCGGCGTCGCTGTCGCGCGGCAGGAGCGCGTGCTGCGGGTAGGCCGGCGGCGGGCGCGCGTCGGCGACGAGGATGCGCAGCAGCTCCGTCTCGTTCATGTCCTCTTCGTCGTCGTCTTCGTAGAGCACGCGGAACCACTTTTTCTTGTCGTCGTAGTCCACGACCTCGCCGGCGAAGAACTTCATAAAGCGCGTTGTCGCTCACGAACTC